AAATTCCACATCCTATAGTAAACAAGTAAGTTATGCTCATCAGTTATGTAACCTTTATTTATACATCCATTAAAAGTGTACTATGCATACTTTTTTTTTTTTACTACTTTGAAATAGTTTTTGGTTAGGTGTGTTTTGACTTTTGACATTGACCATTTAGTGTTTATAATATCTAATGTAGTACATCTAGTGATGTATATTAAAATGTTTATTACATGATGATTTATAACATTTACAAAATATATCAATGAATGGATGCTGTTTTGTTATTTTTATAGGCTCCTATATACTCCCATTTTTGAATACTATTGAATTGAATATTGAAATCCTTTAAATGGATGAGATGGCATAGGGGGCCTTTTTACCCCCCAGTTGGGTGAAAGGTTTGTCACCTTCATGGTGCAAGGCCTTCTCCAGTACTGATACAAATGATGTTTTGTGTAATATACAAGTTAATATTTGTGCATAACAAACACTTAAAGCAAAGTCTGTACCTTTTCTGTTATTTGTATTTTTATTATTTGATTTACATTTCTTCAATAAACACAATTTAATTGAAATGTTCAGGCACAGAGGCAAAAGGAGCCAGACAAATTGTTTTTTCTTTTACAAATAAAATTTGATCATATAAATAAATAAATAAACTTCTAAATTTTTCATCACACACATTTTTCGCCAACATGACCAGTCAATTTGAGTATTATCATTGCGTTTTCTACTTGACATGGTATGAATCTGTGGATTGCCCATATGTCTTTGTTTGTTCAGCACTTTGGTCAGCCGTGCTTGCTGTTTTTAATTGTGCTATATAAATAAACAAACTTGAAACGGAGGCCTAATTAGTTCGAATGAAATGCTTTAGATTTTACAAATTAAAACAAATATATATTTTCTGTTTTTGTATCTTTAAAAATTCATAAAAGAGGCCCTCTTAATTTTATTTGTTGTTTTATGCAACGAAAGATGTAGATTGTTAATGTTACCAGACTTAAAGTTGCTACCATCAATGCATGCTTTGTATGTGCTTCACTTTATGTGCAGTTTTTATTTATTTTTATTTTATATATATATAGTTGAAAAGTCCTTGAAATTTTATTTTACATTATTTGTTAAAAATATTTGTAGGAATCTTGTTGGCAACTTTTAACAACAAATCGACCTACCTTTAGAAACATCTGAAAAGTAGTTGCTCATCAGTGCATGTGCATCATGAAGAAGCAGGGAAAATACATTATAAAGGAATTTAACAGCAGTCACGTCGTTATTTTTATGGCATAATTTAAAAGTATTTTTATGGCATACTTCCATTATAAACCCATTGGCTATTTATATAAATATATTTGTAGCATTGTTGAACTGTATGATATTTTAAGAAATAGACGTAATACACATTTTCATCGAGAAATAACTGCAATGTTATGAAATTCATGGCGACAGACGTTCGATCTAGGGCTAAATGTGGACCAAATCAGGCGGACTAAACCCAATTTTTAATGTCGATTTTTGGGCTAAATTTGGACCAAATCAGACGGACCAAACAAAACCTAATTTTAAACATCGATTTTTGGACCAAATCTGGACCAAATCAGATGGACCAAACAAAGACCAATTTTCAACGTTGCTTTTTGGGCTAAAAGAAGTACATGACGGGCCAACTTGATTTAGCCCAAAAAACGACGTCCAAATGACGTCTGGTGCTGGGTGGGTTCGCTTTAATAACATTTTCCCTCCGAGAAATTGCTGGAAATACATTAAGGCGCTAACAATAATGTTAAAAATCGCTAAGTTATCGTGACCGTTAGCTAAACAAGTTACCATTAGTTGGAAATGAGCCCGTCTCTTCACCTGCTGTAGCACACCGAGTGCTTGTAACGTTACCTTGAAGTGTCACAGAATTAACAAAATGGTATTTTTTTCTAATTTAGCTCAAGTGAAATCTTACCTGAAAGCCCCAGATGTCGCGGGATGAGTCTCTTCTCTCTGTAGGTCGCTATATAAGAGACGAATAACGGCTCCAGCAAACAGAAAAGCGCGGCATCGGCCTCCAGTCGTGAGCCGACTCAGAGCCGACGCTTGATGAGTTGAGAAACAGAGCACTGACCGAATTATATCGACCTATGCCTGGCCGACACTTATTCGATGTTTCAGATAATGAGGCCGACGTTTCACTCTTGGGCCGACGTCGGCCAGACGTACGTGTGCTGTCCGGGTAGTTATTAATGGTCTGCTTTTTTTGTTTTGAGCTGCACGCGCTGAGGATGACCATAATTAAGTATTTGATAGCAGGTTTGTAATCAATGGGATTTAACTCATCATTTATCTCATATAGAATACGCTTCGTTATTTATACAACATAACGTTAATATTCTACGTATAGGCTATCTGCACAAAATGCCCTGAATGCATGAACGTGTCTGCGCGGCTCTGAATGAACTCCTTTTGTGGACGCGTTCTTCACGTGCAAAAACACGGCAACTAAACTAAAAATAATTGTTTTAAATAATATTTAAAAAATAAAAGCGTTTAATTATAATAGTGTTCTCATTGTAATGTTATGTATATGACAGTCCCAGTAATAGTTATTAATATTATGCATTGTTTGTCCTACTCGGGCTGCGCACTAAAGAGATAATCACCGTACCATGAAGCGCTTTACCGCATCGCAACTCAACCAAATGCATCTTATATGAGATAAATAATATATACACGATATATATAAACCGTCTGAAATGTTTTTGAAACACTTGTACCCTACCTGATCGAAAAAATCCAGTCAATCCAATAATTGTTGTTTTGCTGGAACAAAAAGCAGCCAGGCCACAGCATCTAAAATGGAAACTTCTATTAAAGTGGCTCCGTAACGTAAGAGACTTGGGATGGTGGAAGGAGCAGAAGATCAGAGATCAGGCAGAGCTCTACTGGTGCCCCTTAGGGGATTGATTTATCTATAATTATCTATAATCTACTTAATGTTCTGTAGTTATAATTGGTCATTGTTCTGTTTTATAAATCTATTCAATATATTCTACTGTTCAATAGTTTGGGGTCAAAGTTTTTTTTTTCTTTAAGAAATAACTTTTATTCAGCAGGGGTGCATTAAATTAATAAAAAGCGACAGTAAAAACTTTTACATTGTTGGACAAAAATCCTATTTTAAACAAAATGCTGCACTTTTCAAAGCTCTATTCAAAGTAACCTGAAAAAATGTGTCACTGTTTCCACAAATGAAGCAGCACAGCTGTTTTTGAGATGATAAGAAATATTTATAGAGCACCACAACAGCATATTTTAATAATTTCTGTTGGATTGTATGACACCGAAGACTGGAGTAATGGCTGCTGAAAATTCTAATTAAACATCATAGTAAAATTGTTTTTTTTGTAAATTATAATATTGGAAAATACTTTGGGCCAAAAGTATACCCTTTATTTGTCCTCAGTATTCCCACTCTTTCCCCATTGTTTCCACACCCAGCCCACAGTGTACCCACACTTGCCCCACTGTGTACACTCCCAGCCCATACTCTACCCACTGTGTCCACACCCAGCCCACAGTGTCCCCACACTTCCCTCATTATGCCCACAGCCAGCCCATACTCTCCCCATTGTGTCCACACCCAGCACACAGTGTACCCACACTCTCCCCCATTATGCCCACAGCCAGCCCATACTCTCCCCACTGTGTCCACACCCAGCCCACAGTGTACCGACACTCTCCCCCATTATGCCCACAGCCAGCCCATACTCTCCCCACTGTGTCCACACCCAGCCCACAGTGTACCGACACTCTCCCCCATTATGCCCACAGCCAGCCCATACTCTCCCCACTGTGTCCACACCCAGCCCACAGTGTACCGACACTCTCCCCCATTATGCCCACAGCCAGCCCATACTCTCCCCACTGTGTCCACACCCAGCCCACAGTGTACCGACACTCTCCCCCATTATGCCCACAGCCAGCCCATACTCTCCCCACTGTGTCCACACCCAGCCCACAGTGTACCGACACTCTCCCCCATTATGCCCACAGCCAGCCCATACTCTCCCCACTGTGTTGTTGTTTTATGTTAAATAATAACTTAGGTAGGAATGCACGTCTTCACAGAAATGGAGATATGATGTTACAGTCTCTGTGAGCTCATCCAGATCAGTGGCACCAGCTTCAAAAACACTCCAATCAGTGAGGTCGAATCCATTCTTAATGGATTTTAATATTTTAATGGGATTTAAATCAATTTAATTCAAATGAATGTTGTAAAAACTTTGGTTTGGTTTGGTCAATTCAGTTAAAACAAGATTTAACTTCAATTTATTAAAGAGGCTGAACTTATGCCATTGTTAACTGAAAAGATCCAGTTTAATGGTATACAGCAGAAACAAGAGGAAATGTAATTTCACATCATCAGCCTAATTTGGGTTCAGAGATGATCTCTGCTCTACTGCGGTCAAACTCACGTTTCCAAACCTCAACAGTGAGATCACATCTCTAAAAACACTACAGCTGCTATAATTAATACACAATTTTAGTTATGAAAGTGTACAATGGCTGTCAACCATCTCAGCATTGTAAGAAAGTCTCGACTCTGGAATAGATGCAAAACACCACTGTAAAACTTTATAAAAAGAGTTTGATTCCATAATCAATTATTTTAATCATTTACAGAAATACATCAAACAAATGACCTTCATATGCTTCAGCTGCTGTGTAGTTTTTTGTGTCAATGCATCTTTGAAAATAACAATCATGAATCTTATAGTTCAGGTGAGATTCAGAGCAAATATAAATGGTAACAGTGTGAAGATCAGACAGAAAACAGAAACACTGATAAATCAATAGCAGTTGCATGCAGTGATATACTGTCAGTCAAATGCAGCTCATGTAAGGAATAAACACTCGGTCGATCAGATCAGAGGAAGTGACCAAAACACAGGAAGAACTGATAGTATTTAAAGAAAGAGTTGAGAGCATATAATGAAGAGAAAGACTGACAGAAAGAGACAATGGCTGATAAGTGTCATTGGTGTCTGCTGGGACTGATCTTTCTCTCTTCACTTCACACAGGTAAAGAAATCTGTTTTCTGTATGATCTGAATTGTCTGTTTTTTTATGCTGGTATGCTTTGTTTTCATTTATTAATATATAACAATGATCACTCTAATGTTTTTGTGTTTCAGGTATCAGTGGAGTGAATGAGACTCATGTGTTCATCAGTTCTGGTGAAAATGTCCGTCTGCCCTGTAATAATGCTCTTCATGACTGTAAATCAACTACATGGAACTATGAAAGACTCAGAGATTCAGCAGCAGCTGAACTGATTGCTGGAGGGATAAAGAAGAAAGACATGAAGGGTCTGAGTCTGGGGTCTGACTGCTCTCTGAACATCAAATATGTCACAAAACAAGATTATGGATCTTACTTCTGCAGACAATATGTGAATGACAAACAACAAGGAACTGATGCTCGAGTTTTTCTGCATGTTCTTCAGGGTAATTTTATGATTATGTGGTCAGTTTAAAAATAGCAAATTCTACATTTAACTTCTCATGATGATTGAAGAGTCTGTGATTTGTGTTTCAGTCTCTTCATCTTCATCATCCTCACAGACTGAGATCAGTGCAGGCCGCTCTGTGACTCTCTCCTGTCAGTTGTATTCGTATGCTGGAGTCTCTTGTGATGATTGGATCCGTTCTGAGAGAATTGAGCTGTTCTGGGTGAATCAGGCTGGTGTTAAACTGACGAGATCAGACTCCAGATATCAGATATCAGCTCCAGATCACTGTGTCATCACTCTGACAACAACACTCCTGAATGAAGATGACAACAGAGAGTGGAGATGCAATGTTACTCACAGAAATCAAGTCAAAACCTCTGTCACATATACTGTCAAGAGTTCAGGTGAGAAAACAATCTCATCAATCAGTTTTAGACCCTCATAATGTCAGTAACACTATAAGGACTATTAATATCATTGAAGCAGTACAAACCGAGGAACAAAAGCTTATTTCAGTCTGACAGAAGAGAAACTCAACTGCAGTCAAGATTAACAGTCTAAAAAGTGATGGTGTATAATTATGAAGGAATTGAAACTTGACAGCAAAAATTGTAGTGCTTTATGCAATGAAGAGTAGTTTTAATTAAATAACACTTAACTTTCATTGAACACTTTATGTTTTGCATTTTCGAGTAAAGGGAAAGACCTGTTTGTGTTTAGCGGTCAGTTATTTCGGGCTTTTCAGAGAGTTTCTGTTATGTTGATGTTTTTGTGGTTTCTCAAATAGACTGTTCTGATTTGTGAAATGTTTATTTGAGCCTAGTCTGACCAATGTAGGAGGTCAGTTTTAGGAATTATAAGAATTAATAATGCTATTCATACAAGACAATTTGAAGGTTTATGGTTTCACTCTCGTATAAAGGAAGCTTAAAATATATATGTAACAACGTTCATAGTTCGGGAAGAAGGAGGCGGGAACCGGCGAACATTAAAATAAAATTTAATAATAAAATAAACACAAAACAAAACCAAAACACAAAATCAAGTCCAGGCCTGGTCCTCTCTCGTCTTTCACTGTCGTCACTCCTCCTTTTATCCTTCCGGAGCTCCTCCGTGGGACTCGAGACCAGTGAGTGGTGCAGGTGTCGCTCATTATCACTTACTCCACCGGCCTCGCTCCGTTCCCATGGCTCTCGGCCCCCCCCTCTTGTCACAATATAGTATATAATTAATATAACACCTCTCTTCCCAACAACTGCCACTGTAAACACTGATGATGATGATGATGACACAAACTGTGTGTCATGTAATGATCAAGTATGAAAATATGATGTTAATATCCTACAGATGATGCATCTGAACGTTCATCTTCTGCAGCTTCAGATTCAGCGACAGTGACTCCAGTCAGCTGCTCAAACTCTGAGACGACATCAAGACAAACTCCAGCAGCAGCTCCTGCACAAGGTTCATCATCTCTCACACATCAGCAGTCTCTCACTTCACTGCTTTACACTTGTTTTGTCACTATTGATCTGACCACAAGAAGATCAACCTGCTAATTCATAAATTCAGCATTGAAACCTCAAAGGATTGATAAACATTTATGCATTTAAAATGTTTTCATACATGGCCATATGTTTTAGATGTGGTCAATACATAGATATTCAACATTTAAGTGTTCATGCAAACTTATAGATGTCACACTTTATATACAAATATCTATAATTGTATAACGATATAATAGATGATAGACTCGTGATGCAGTGGAAGTTCAGTTATCATTTCTTTGATGTGAAGCACAAGTATGATGTGATGTCTGATGTTGATGGTGTTTTGTTTATAATCATTATGTCTGATCATTTTGGTTGACTAACAGACATGATTACAGATCCAGCAGAGACTGAAGTCAGAAGGACTGCTGGATCATTTTTCAGAGGTACCACAAGTCTTTGCATCATTCGTTGTTGTATACCTTTGATTTGATTCACAGTTTCACAGATTGATCTTTGTCTGTTATCTGTCCACACATCTGTCCTGCAGTGATTGTGATTACTGTTGAGTTTGCAGTGTTTGCTGCTCCTACTGTGATTCTTCAGATCATCTGTGCAAGAAGAGCTGGTGAGTTTTTCAGCCTCACACAATCTGCAACAATATTTAAAATACCAAAAACTTATAGAGGATTGTTTATATATTTTTTATTCTTCTCAGAAAACAAAGAAAAACTCTGACCACCCCGAAGATATACTGATAACATCCATTTTTACCTTTTTTTTTGTTTTGTTTTGTTTTTTGTTAAACCAGGCGAGATTTTTTTTCATATGGATATTTGCATGCAGTTTTCAGTTATTTTCTTGTGTTTGGTATATAACTGCTTTAAATACAGTAATGGACAGAGTGATTGTATAATAATATCTGTTCTGTGTGATGGAGCTGATTTTGTTATTCTTTTATCTTCTCTGTTCGTTCTTGTTTTTTAGAATTTATTTATATTTTGGATGATTGCTACTAATTTTCTTAATAAACCCTCTGCAATTGCATATATTATTTTGTCTTTGCTAAAATATTTCTTACAAATCTAGTGATTTCCCTTCATGAGCTCGTAATGTGAGGATGTGTTAAACTGAAGCAAAGAAACAAAGATGAGCAAATTACTAATGAAATTATTTATTCGTGTTCATAATATTTCATATAACTCTGTTGTGGTTAATTCAGAAATCCATTTTTATAAACTAATGACTTCCACACACGTCACCTTTTCTCACAGCCGGGCTACAAGAGCCAATTTACTGGGTTTGGAATTATTATTGCTCCAAAATCATTTAAATGTAAAACTTAAAGTTTGTTTGAGTCTGACGATATTTGCTCACACTGTGTGTTAATGCAATATAACACTTCAGTAAACACTATACAAGCAAAGTCTGATGCTGTAACACTGTAACTGTAACACTGACACACAAACAGACTCCTAAAAAAATATTCCTCCAGAAGTTTGTGTTTGTTGATTCACTGAATTCGCCGATTCCCCTTCAGTAATGATCTAATAACTAATCATTGTACTCCTTTGAGCCCTAAGCAGCCCTCAGATAATGGAGTGTGAATTTAATGTAAATTTAATATATAAAATTAGTGGCCATAATAAAAGAGAAGATTTGAAATTAGGACTTGAGAAAGTTAAAGTTATCTGCTCACATACTGTTATCGTTTTACAGAAATTTAAATCAGATTGAGTTCAGATGAATGTTGATTTAATTATAATTCTTAAACAGTCTGAACTCATTCCGTTGTTAACTGAAAGGATTTTAATGACATACAGCAGCTCACTTAAAGAAAAAGCGGAAGTGCCATCAGAATGATTCAGATTCACAGCATCATCAGTCTAATCTGGTTTCAGAGATGATCTTTGCTCTACTGCGGTCTAACTCGCATGTTTCCTTACCCCAACAGTGAGATCACAGCTCTGAAACACTACAGCTGCTATAATTAATACGCTATTTTAGTTATGAAAGTGTTAAATGGCTGTCGACCATCTCAAGATAGCAAGAAAGTCTTGACTCTGGAATATAAGTTAAACATCACTGTAAAACTTCATATGGAATATGATGATTCCATAATCACTATTATCATAATCATTTGCAGAAATCCAGCAAATAAATGAGCTGTACATGTTCACTCATGGACGTGTGGCAACAGTAGTGGGCAGATTCTCTTCTGACACTTAAATTTGTGGAATTCCTTGAGGAGCGTGGGACTCATTGTGAGAGTCTGAAGTATTGTGAGAAGTTTGGCATCCTCATATAGGATGTGCTCATCTTCATTAGCAGCTTCAGCAGAAATAATTCTGTTCTCACCCAGCCTGAACTCAATGTCAGTCAGAGAAAAAAAAAATCATGAAATACCTGTCCTCTGATGGTCTCTGTCACTTGGTTGAGACACATTTACAAATCTTCAAGTTCTTCATTCATGCATCTTGTCTCATAGAGGTCAGTGTTGTCAGAATCAGCACTGACAGCTGCGGCATCTCTCCTCTGAAGAAACAGGCGTAAGGCCTGCAGGATCATACTCATCTCCACAAAAAAACAATCATTTTAGCAGGAATGGCTCTACATCTGACCCTCTCTGTGGCAGATCTGGATTTGTCTTCACTCAAATCGCCAAAGAGTTTGACCGTCATTGGATAGAGGCAAGATCATATTATAATAATAATTATTATTATTTATGCATTTAGCAGATGCTTTTATCCAAAGCGACTTACAGTGCATTCAGGCTATAAATTTTTTACCTGTATGTGTGTTCCCTGGGAATCGAACCCACGACCTTTTGCGCTGCTAACGCAATGCTCTACCACTGAGCCACAGGAACATCATCTTGTTTCTCCCTAATCAAACACACCTGATTCAGTCATCAGTTCATTAGTAGACAATCCAATGAGTGTCAAAAGCAGATATTCAGCATGTGCAGGGTTGTCCAAGAACTGGTTTGGGAACCACTGGTCTATCTAAACATGCAGAAATGAGGTTCCTCATTCCTGCTCCTGGAGAACCATTTTACAGCTCTAATTAAATGCACCTGAAAATCACAGCCAGGTGTGTGGATGAGGAACCGTGCATTACATGAAATCAGTTAAATAAACACTTTAGATACACTGAACAAAATTATAAACGCAACACTTTTGTTTTTGCCCCCATTTTTCATGAGCTGAACTCACAGATCTAAGACTTTTTTTCTCTCAAATATTGTTCACAAATCTGTCTAAATCTATGTTAGTGAGCACTTCTCCTTTGCCGAGATAATCCATCCACCTCACAGGTGTGGCATATCAAGATGCTGATTAGACAGCATGATTATTGCACAGGTGTGCCTTAGGCTGGCCACAATAAAAGGCCACTCTAAAATGTGCAGTTTTATCACACAGCACAATGCCACAGATGTCAAAAGTTTTGAGGGAGCGTGCAATTGGCATGCTGACTGCAGGAATGTCCACCAGAGCTGTTGCCCGTGAATTGAATATTCATTTCTCTACCATAAGCTGTCTCCAAAGGCGTGTCAGAGAATTTGGCAGTACATCTAACCGGCCTCACAACCGCGGATGAATCCCGGTTTTCACTGTACAGGGCAGATGGCAGACAGTGTGTATGGCGTCGTGTGGGTGAGTGGTTTGCTGATGTTAACGTTGCTGATCGAGTGGCCCATGGTGGCGGTGGGGTTATGGTATGGGCAGGCGTATGTTATGGACAACGAACACAGGTGCATTTTATTGATGGCATTTTGAATGCACAGAGATACCGTGATGAGATCCTGAGGCCCATTGTTGTGCCATTCATCCACGACCATCACCTCATGTTGCAGCATGATAATGCACTGCCCCATGTTGCAAGGATCTGTACACAATTCCTGGAAGCTGAACACATCCCAGTTTTTGCATGGCCAGCAGACTCACCGTACATGTCACCCATTGAGCATGTTTGGGATGCTCTGGATCGGCGTATATGACAGTGTGTTCCAGTTCCTGCCAATATCCAGCAACTTCGCACAGCCATTGAAGAGGAGTGGACCAACATTCCACAATCAACAACACTAAATGAACGCAAGATAGGCGTGATGTGATTCCTTCTGCGACTGCCTGTGAGCAAATGAGCAGCCGCGTTTTGGACCAGTTGCAGACGATAAATAGATGAGACGGGCAGTCCATAATATAGCGAGTTGCAGTAGTCAAGTCGCGAAGAAATGAAAGCATGAATGACAATCTCAAAACTCTTCCTGCTTAGGAAGGGTTTCACTGGTAGAAGCTAGCACTCACAGTAGAATTAATTTGTTTGTTCAGCTTTAGGTCACTGTCCAGTATGAAGCCCAGATGACCTCAGCAGAGCAATATGGGGAAAGAAAGCCCAGATCAACGGTGCTCAGATCAGTTTTCTCGTTAGGCCTAAACAGAACAATTTGAGTTTTATCGTCATTCAAATGCAAAAAATTATTGGTAAGCCATGTTTTCAATTCTTGGAGACAGGCTGTTAGTTGGTATAATGCAGACTTGTCATTGCGCTTAGGTGGTATGTAAAGCTGGGTATCATCGGCATAGCAGTGATATGACACATCGAATCTCCTAAAGATTGAACCAATGGGTAACATATACAGCGAGAACAATAATGGTGCTAAAGTTGATCCTTGAGGAACACCACATGAAGAATATGCTACAGAAGATGAATATTGCCCAATACTGACTGAAAATCTTCTGTTAGACAAAAAGAACCGAAACCAGTCAATTACAGTGCCTCTAATACCAATACAGTGCTCCAAGCGAGACAGCAGAATACCATGGTCAACAAAATCAAATGCTGAACTGAGATCTAAAAGCACTAAGGCCATAGTATTACCAATATCATTAGATATTAAAAGGTCATTAAAGACCTTCAGAAGGGCAGACTCTGTGCTGTGTAAGCTTTTAAAACCAGACTGAAAAATATCAGAGATACA